GACTACTTTATTTAACACGTGAACGATATTAGTGATACATTATTTTGGTGGCCTCTTGCACTCGCGCATCGAAGGAAATGGATTGAACTAAACGAGATAGTGATGGACGATTTACATTTATGTATTAAAACATTGTGTAAAGTATCGATTCATCAAATACAATCCGATGTTTTGTTAATTCATCAACATTGAGTTAAACATTGATGTTTTTTGTTCGCTACATTGAAGAGGCGAACCTGCTAGAACACAATTGTTTTAACATGAGCGTCACTTTGCGAGCAGTCATCAGTGCTTCGTACATTTTTGAAAACAAAGGTAGAATGCGCAAGCTGGTTGCAGGTGCAATACCAGTACTTAAATTTGAAGTAAGATTATATTTATTTCAAAGAGATTAAAAAATAAATTTGGCAGTTATTTATGTAAGCACCTATGCAATTACGTGTTAATGTCCACGATTTTTTTTACGACTAATGGATGTCATTAAATAATATTTTGACTTCAGATTGAAATATCTTGTACGTAAAACTGCGATCAAGCAATCAAAAGCACAATTATATATAATATGATTTTTAAGGGGAGTAAATTAATTAGATTTTTGTTTGATTAATAAACATTGTTTCATAAATTTGTACCTATGTTTTGTTGAGCTAAAACATACCTTATAATTATTGCTTACCTTATATTTACAAATAATTACATAATCAAATTAATAACATAAGTACAATAACGCATAGGCATCTTGGCGCATCACTATTCAACCATTTTCAACTATGTATCAGTATTTATAGAACATCTGGTTATCCTTGGCATAATGGGCATTGAGCAATACGCGAGCTCAATACCTTGCTTACTTATACTCGTAAGTTCTGAACACTTATTTATTGTTCTAAGGAGTCCCTTTTAAATATTACTATACTCTTCGGCAAGGTCTAAAACTTTGACAAGTAGATCGCCAAATGGACATGCCGACGCTTAAAAGATTAAGTGAAGATTTTGTTAGTACTATTTTTTAAATATTATTTAGTGGTTAAGTGCCAATTACTTATTGTCTATTTCTGCCACCAATCGGCAGTGCATCAATCTCATATGAAGGGTATACAGAGCCATTATAATAACAACCTTTGAGGCATTCTGTTTTAGTCCTCATGAGTGTAAATTTATGTGTATAGCTTTCTTTATATGAAGTTACTTTGGCTGCAGTAGCTGCGTTATCAGGTTGATTGTTATCTCATTTGTCTCTCTTATGTTGTAATATTTTTTTTTCAAGAACTATAAAAAGGTTATGCACATGCTATTATATTATTACATTACATACACCACTATATCATTGCGGTTTATTGATGGTCATTTATTTTAAATTTCAGGAGGCTACGTGCTTGTAGGTGGCGCCATCTGCATGGAATTGTTAACAAAGCAGGGCTGGTCGTCAGCATACACGGTGGAAGCTGTTATAATGCAAATAGCTGCCACACTAGTGAAGGGCAAGGCGAGAATTCAGTTTGGTGCCACTAAAGTTGTCACCCAGTCACAGTATAGTCTGGCTCGTGCTCAACAAAGCTTCAAGTGCCTCGTTCAGATACACGAAAAGAACGGTGAGTTAATACATTTTAATACATAAAATGTTAATTTAATAAAATGCAACCTCTAGTTGCTTATTACATTTTTCTCTGGTAGCATTTTGGTATTTTATACGTGGTAAAGCCATGCTGCAGCTATATTAGTAGTATAGTTGTAGCATGAATGGATCAGCTCGACTGGGGAAGGACCACATTCTCATAGAATACCAGTGTAAAATGGCAGCTTGACACTGCTGTGCTGCTGTTTCATGTGGTGAGTGTAGAGAACCGGAGACCCTTTTTACTGGAAAATAGGCATTCCATCTTAGTCCTCACGTATGACAACGCATTTGCATTTTGATTCGCAAACGAGGATAGATGTAGATGTCTATGGGCTACAGCAACCACTTACCATCAGGTGGACTGTGTATTCGTTTGTCACCTTATTTATTTAATTACTAGCGTTTCGCCCCAGCTTCCAACGGGTGATTTTGATCTCGTCAACAGCGCCAACTAATGATTCCAATTGTGAATCTAAACTATTATCGAATCATCTTTCAACACAAAAAAAAACAATCAAAATCGAACCAGCCATTTACGAGACTAATGGACAGCAATTGATATTTATAAATAGAGATTATCATAGCATAATGTTGTATGAAATTTACTGTGGTTAGATTAGAAGAAATGTTTTCCTACTTTTACGGATTCTATCGAGTTTGATTAACTTATTTTTATTAAATTCCTGACGATATGGGTAGTTTACAGCACCCATGGTCACGGCGGATTCCCGTGACCATGGGTTATTCGATGTTATTCGTCGTCACCTCGACGTTATTCGATGGCTCTTGTCTCTTTAAATGTTCCCTTGATTTTAGAGCCTTGTAGAATATTTAGAGAGGACGGCAGACGATCCGACAGGGACTTGAGTTGACGGCTCCGTGGCGCAGTAGTTTCGCAATGAGTTGCAGCGCTAAGAGCCGCGGGTTTGAATCCCGCACGGAACAAGTATTTGTATAGTATCTTAGTGGATTTTCGAAGGACAAGGGAATTTATTATTCAACCAGTTCTAAATAAGAAAATACTACCAATATGTTTTGTACCACACCATATGTATTAGGTAATAATCTATATTGAATAAGAGTATATTCTGTACAAATAAAAAAAAACTATTATCACATTAAGTTTGTCCACTTCTTGTTAGTATGGGGCTTACAGTCTATGCTAGTAACAAAATAGATAGAAAAATAGTAATAAGTGATTGTGCCTTCGATAAACTCATCTCGACACATTTTGGCATAAAATTGATGAATCAAACAAAAACGGCAGTATCTATCTTTTCTTCTAACGTCCTTAGGACTTTGCTGGTAAATACTCCTTTGCAGTCACAGCATCATCCAAGCAGACTTTTTTTGCATGATCGTGTTAAAGTCGCGAATAGATTTTCGTGGCCTCAAACATCCTGAAGCATTGCCAGAATGCAGGAGCGCCAATCGAGTGCTGAAGATCATATATTGTTAGAAGTTAATATATTGAAATAGCTAAATTTATTTATATCTTATTGGGTAAAATTGGACTATGGACTACTTGTTTAAAAGTTTAGCAATATACTCTAAAGATTGTTAATTTAACGCCTTCTTTACATTAGCATGTTCTCCCTTATCAACCATGCTCTACACTCCATATTTTAGATTCTCAGTACTTTACAATATTATCGAGCTTCTTAACGATATGACCGAGATACTGAAATAGTGCATACTCTACTTAATTCAGTTTAATAGCAGGAGGGCACTTTAGGGAGTAGTTATTTAAAAACGTAAGCACCGTAAACTCAGATTTATTATTTATTCTCACTGTACTTCAAGCTGTTGTACAGTTTAGCCTCACCGGTCATTAGCAATTTTCTTAATACATTGATTGATGTACTCAGCAGCACTATGTCGTCAACGTAACTTATATTATTGACACTAATATTTATCTATTCGACAAGCGACATGCTAACTGCTGAATTCACCAACCAGTTGATCAATATACAATTAAAACAATGTCGGAGAAGTTACGAGTCCACTGATAATCCTAGGCCTCCACTATAGATTGCCTCGTAGGGGGGATATTTACCATAGTTGTCATGCCTGGCAAGCGAGTTGGCAACTGCTGTTTTTGTAGTCGTTTTTAGAAGGATGCTGCTGCCCATCTCCTGATTTTTTTCCCTCTGTCGTCTCTTACGACACCCACGGGATGACAAGGGGTAGTGGATATTCTTACACCGCCACTACACGGTATTTGAATTACGATTGGAAATATCAAAATGTTTTCTGTGGGCTCAGTGCATATACCTTTATGTATTGATGCAACAATTTTTAATCTGTATATTTCAGGTTGGTTTACACCACCCAAGGAGGATGGCTAATGCAAGGATTCACCGCTTCTGTAAAATTAAGTTTAAACGTGCGACATCAACGCCCATGTGACAGACATTCTATCTAAATTCGACAAGTGACTCGATGAGTTTGCGTGATGATAGTCCTTATATAATTCCAATACTGGTTTCTCGCGAAAGGCGACGAGGAATACTGAACAGACATTATGTGGGTGGTTATAATAACAAGAATGCTGTATGTATGTGTACTTCAATTTTAATGTTAAGTGCTGTAATTCTGGTTCTGAATGCAACGGGCGTTCATGAGAGACTTTATAAGACTTATAGAAAATGTTTAATGTGTAACGTTTTTTGTAATCATTAATTTTCTCAATAAACGTTATCAATATGGTAGCCCTAGACGTACTGGAGTGTAAAGTTGAAAAATTCTTTGCATTTCTTTTTAGTTATTAAATAAAAAAAACTGTGATTCTTATTTGGCGTTTTTTTGCTCTTCAGATCATTCGTAATTACTTATTTTATGAAGTAATAATAAAAAAAAAATGTATAAAGTAAAGGCTAAGTTTAGCCTATCAAATCATGATGACACCCCTTATTAAAGAAACATTGATGATCGGTTCAGTAGCTTTTATGTTATTAGAATTAGAATGTATTATGTTACCGGTAAAGTCCGAAAAACTAGAACTAGTAAACCTAGGTTTACTCGGCTTTTTGGGAAAAGTCCAAATAATTTATAAATTACATAATTAATTGGTTCACCATTTAGCTGCGGACATTTATGTAGCTGCACCTTGACTTACTGTTGCTGATATAACTTGATATGTGCTTTCGTATTTTTGGCATACATATTTAATAAAAGTTATAGTTAATTTAAATATTATTCGGACTACCCTAGACACCAAATAAACCTAGTTTTTAGTAATTCTTTTGGCATTACCCATGACGTATTTATATTATACCTGTTTAATTTGTATTAAAATATTTGTAGTTAAACACATATTTAATGTTAAATATAACTTCCAATTTTCAATTAGCAAGGATTTACTGTCGTGAGATATACGAACTCAAAGTTTAGATTTTTGATTAAGTTTGTTATGTTCCATTAGCATTTTGAGAACCTGGACATGTTGTTTGCTTCCTGGTTCATTTATTCTTCTGCAATAATCCTGCTGGTACATGTTTATCAACCAATGTTTCAATTTGGGATACCTGAAATAAAAAAGTGCTATACACAACAGTGTTTTGCATATACGCCAATCCGAAACTATATATTACTTAATATTTATTAAAAGGTAGGATGTATGTAAGTATATCAATTTCTTAAAAATTAAATCCAAAAATTTTTCAGTAAATTTTCTAATAAAGCACATTCATGAAATTAGTGTTAAAGCCGAAAAAAAAATAAGTGAAACTAAAGACTGTATAAGCCATCTTTTCTAAATTTATTATTTCGGGTTATATTGGATATTAAACAATTCCCAGGTGTGTGCATCACTCATTTAATTTCAATTATGAGTACCTCAGACAAGAGTAATCATTTAGAATACAGATATTTTGGGCCGTTTGTTATGAGACAAACAATATATAAGAGCAGTGTAATGTGATTCGAAGTTACTTGATGATGATTTATCTTGATTGCCGAAATACATATACGGTATCTTGCAAGAACAATGTGATGTTATATTTCTGAAGATTATGAACAGCTTGACCAATTGTATATAAAAATAAATCGGTTGATGGTTGATTTAGCGCTCATCCATCACAGTCTGTTTCCCCTGATGATGCCTCGTTTATAGGCACAACATGTGTAGTATTATTTAGGTGTGTCATCCCTAGTGTAGTGGTTTTGGGAGTAGTGGTGGGGATCAGTGGTGACGGTTATAGCGCACGCAATTGAGGGAGGTAGGACTATAGACTAGGTAAGACACTTTATTTATTTTTTCACGAATCTTATCTAATCATTTTAAACTTATTTAAAAAGAACTGACATAAAGGCAAAAAATTTGAAATTCGTGAATTAATTTAATACACAAATGGTTTGCGACATCTGATTTTCAGATTCACTCGACCTTTAAAAAATAATGACCACAGACTAAGACGCCCATTACACGCCTAGGCAAGTGTCAGTCAGTTCGATCAATCATGATTGACGTTTGAATGATAGAATAATTTCGATATTACACGCTCATGCTGACTGATGTCAGTCAAACCAAATTTTCGGAGGGAAAGGACCTACCTATAAACTAAGTTCATTTTAGATTCACCATTTAATTATAATTTTATATCTTGAAAAGAAAAAGAAAAAAAAACGAATAGGAAAAATTGTAATATTTAATATCATTTTACCCATTTTAATTTAACGCGCGACAATGTTCGACCTCTTAGAGTGCATAATCGATACGCGGCTTTATTTGAAACGCATTTATGGACGAAAAATAAGCTTACGTTTTATATTCATTCGTATAGGGTGGATGCCCCTATTACCAGCCTTTTAGTGCCAATTTCAATTTCCTTTTGTGTACCTACCTAATGCCAGCACAGCATAGGGCTCTGCCTTTTGAGTTTTTGGTAGGTACCTATTGTAGGTAAGTTTTAGGGGCACTGACATAAATTCATAACAACTTTTAATTTTAATCATGCATGTCATAAGCATGGAATATGTATTAAGATATACGTTATTTTATTTTAATGCTTTACTTCTTACCTTTCTGTGGTTAAGCTTTAAGCAGTTCCATTTTTCTTTTAACTAACTGAACAATTAATTAAAACAAAATTATATTAAAATTTATGTATTATAGTACACCGATTTCTTATAATTTTCTTATAATCATTCAAGTTTATGAATCGTCATCATCATTTCAGCCCTTCACAAGTCCACTACAGAACAAACATTCTCCATAGACTGCCGCAAAGCATGGTCCTGAACCACTTTCCTTGTTATGACTTTTTCATTTATGTTCTTAATTTATAATACAATTAGTATTACTAAGTTGTAGTTAATTACATTTATTGTTTGTTTTTGTCTTTCTCAAAAAATATCTAAATATTGTATGGTGTTCTTAACATATATCAAATGTCTGAAAAGCAAATACCTATGATTTGTTAAACTTTTAAATCAAAAATCAATTTTAAAATATACACGAATTGATCATAACTTCCTTAACTATAAAATAATTAATGATACTTATTCCAGTTTATGACAACCCTGATTTATATTACGTGGCTGAAATTAGGTACTTCTTATTATCTACGTCAAAACAAATAACAGCCGGGCGACTGACATTAAGCACTCCATACATTTCGTATATCTAATTACAGCCCCAATAATTTCCACTAAAATAAAATAAAAAACTTATAGATTTAAGCAAAAATAGCTGCATTACTATGTCTATAGTCACATTCATACAAATCAAAAAGCCTAACGAAGAGCTAATGTAAAATTTGCTTAATTGTACCGGGACCATAACTTGTCAAAAAATTAGGGAAATTAGCGTTTTTCGTTGCGTACTTCTTTTGATTTTTAATTTAACACTGTTAGGTTTAAAACTGTGAGGTAATATTTGAAATATACTTTCCTCTAGTTACGAAGAAGTTTTTAGCCGACAATATTTGTAGTTAAGACTAGTAGAAATCTTATTTATGAAGTAAAAAGTCGGAAAGGCTGGTATTAGGGGCGTGGCTGGTATTAGGGGCACCCACCCTATCCGGGGTTTTTCGTGTCCCATAACTCGGGGAGAGCCTCAAAATTTAAAATAAAATCTTTTTCTGGCTAAAGCACGTTTGGCGGGAGTGACGACGGGCTGCGCGAGCCCGTGGAAGCCGCCTCTTCGATATATTCTGCGTCCGCCTCCATTGCTGTCTAAGCGTTGACTGACGCGTGATTGACGAAATGCCATTACACGTTCAATCAAAATTCGTGACTGATAGTTGATAGACGTAAAAATCAAAATATCCAGATATTTGTCAATCAATTTTATGCAACCGTCAATCACCGCATTACACGGTAGGTTATTCGTCAATCACAACCGTGATTGTTGTAAAACTGACAGCAAAACCTACCGTGTAATGGGCGTCTAATTTGTATAAAGAACGGACTTACCGTTTATCGTCTATAGGATGTAATCCGTTCAATGAAGACATTGTAGTCATAACACTAATGTCCGCAAGGGTTATGACGTCATCCGCTAAGTATAAGGTGTCTGAGAGATAAGTTTCGAGTATTCTGTACGCGTCTTCAACATTCCTTATCATAGATTTAGATATCTCTGTTAGTTTACCGCCATAAGTTGGTGCCTGGAAGTGTTGTTAAATAGTTAATTTCTAGTTTATACTTGGGTTAAAAAAGCATTATTAGTCTAATCTAACATCAGGGTTCTGAGGTAAGTGGCTACTTATTACTGCAGTCCTGTGGAGCTCTTTCTCTTGTTTTGTAATCTTAACGTCTTTTATATAGATTATTATTAGTCCGTAATACAGTAGAGTTTCGATCGAGATTTGTTTCATTTTGTATATTTTTTGGGGCTGTCTTTTCTGCTTGCTGGATATAACAACAGTAATTGTTTGTACGGACAGTGGTAGCTGAACCCGAATCCGGACGATCTCGGTTACTTTCTATTTTATGTATCGAAAAAATTAATGACAAGTCGGGTTTTCATTGTAATTTCACGTATAAAATTAAAGTTACACCTTTCATATATCACACTCCTGGGCACAGGCCTCCTCTCATTTCTGAGGTATTTGGAGCAGAAAAGAGACCACCATGCTGAGATCCTGCATAACCGAGCCGCAGCCTAAGAACATACAGTCAGTCATCGCGTTGGATGTTGTCGGAAAAGTCGACATAAACAATAAATTGCTAGGGTTGTTGGAACGGGAAGTAATAAAAAACTGATTTTATTTTATTTCACGTTTAAACAAATTCCTGTGTAAGTGCAAACTGATGAAACTTTAATTCCTTATCTTTAAATACGAACGACCCACAGTTTTTACCTCACATGTAGTGTGAACCATTTGAATTTATTTACGTGACAGTAAATAAATTCAAATGGTTCACACTACAACAGTCCTAACGGACAGTTCCCGACTGACTAACGGCTGCTCGAGAGCGTCTCGCCCCGCACAGCATCGCATGATTGGCTCGTCTATCGATGACCCGACTGTTAGTAGTAGTGACTGACTAAGCTATCTTTTTTTTTCCTGATGAAACTAATATATTATTAACTTTGTAGTGTGTACCTGTGTGGATGTCTGTGTCTGTCTGTGTTTTTAAATTTTTAAATTTAAGTTATTTTGTATTTTAGTTTAGTAACTTACCATAATGGATCTGAGTCGGGGAAACAAAACGCCGCAGTCGAAAAACAACCTTTGGTTAATTGTTGCTCGCTTCCTTTTGTCGGAAGGATAGTAGGACTCATGCTCTGGTCTGCCATACTTGTCGATAAGGTAAATGATTATGGCGTGGCTGTATGAAGAAAGAATATCGAAATGTAAAGCAACAAAAATATGTTTTACTGTCAAGTGCAGTACTAAACTAAATTTCGCGAGAAACGGCAAGGCAAACTCTGAAAGATTCCGCCGTTGCGATGACTGCGATTTGAGATGCTAGCTTTGAAATACTTGAGTATTCTCTATTTTCACCAGACCTTGCACCTAGTGATTACTACCTATTTCCGAGATAGAAGGAGCTTTTGAGAGGACAGAGATTTGAAGATGATGAAGCAGAAGTCGCTGCAGTACAGACATTTTTAGGTACTCAGGATGAAAAGGTCTGTATAACTTCGTTCGAAAGTGAGTGAGAGTAGAAAAAGGATCAAGTATTACACTAAATCTGTAATATAATTTTTTTTTAGCTATTAGGTATACTAAACAAAAATAACTTTTATTATAATAAGGTACAATGTTATAACGACGTGTGACTGGACATCAACTATGGGATATGCCAAAAACACTTATGGTTCACGACATATGGCTCTATAAACACAGAGCTATATCTCGTTTAGCTAAGCGTAAAATACCCACGGGTGACGGGAAGTGGGGAGGGGGGGAGGGGTGCGAAATGTCTGGTTCTACCGTCGCTACGTCTGCCAAGCATAAGGCTAATAAGGCAAATCTCTACAATGGGTGAGGTTTATGTACAGCAATATATACAATGTATACATATGGACCGATAATGAAGAAGAAAATATTGTGATTGTCCCTATGTCTTCAATACTGCAACTAGGGTTTTGTCCGATTTTTTTGCATACGGCTTACATCCGGCACGGTTAGGTTCGAACATGAGTGTCGACGTTTACTTGTAGGTATACCTTTGTCATTTAACGTCTAATGTGACGTTATTTTATTTATTCTTTATTGAACCTTACACAATGTATAGGAACAAAAGGCGGACTTGATGCTAAATTAATGCATTCTCTGCCTGTCAAACTTATTTTTCGATATTACTCGAAGGGTGTCATTGTTGTGTATCAAAATAAACCAAATCATCAAATTGCATTATCCATTCTTAATTGTTATAACTTCATGTGTGACACTGTCAGTAGCCTATTTGATTATATTACATGTATGTAATTAAAATTAGCTTATAATGATGTAAGTGGGTACATTTTAACGTAACAATCTGGTGTTTTTTATTTTCCTGATGTGTTGTCTATTCTATAAAAAGTACTCTGTGGTCTATTCTATTTCATAAGTCTGAAACGAAAGATCCAATTTTATGACTTACCTATCAGCTAAGCAAAAGTTATCTTCTTCTAGCATTGGAATTGTTCTCATGGGGTTTTTCTGAAATCAAAAGAGTGAAAAGGAAAGGGTAAACGAAACAATTTTTTTTATTAATAAGTTTTTTTGTTAATTTAGATATTAATAAGTTTGTTTTTAAATCTTAGAGTAACACACGAGCTAATAACCACTAAGTTTACTGTAGCCCATGGACAACTAGATGAAACGAACTTTAAATAAGGAAAAGCATAGACGCGCTTTCAACTTGAGATGAAAAATCATTATTATATTTTATCAAAAGTCCATTGCTGAACATAGGTCTCCCCCGTAGATTGACTTATAAAGGGAAGGGGGGTGCCATCGTTTTATAAGCGATCATAGTACGTACGTAACGTATTTAAAGATTTTAAATTAACCGGTTGTGCGGATGACACGCCAGGCGTGCCATCGATTACTTTTGTGTGTGGCGTATGACACACGTGTCGTGTCTTTTTAAAAATCGTTATAACTCGCTCAAATTGTGTTTTTGGAAAATTTATCAAGAAGAAAATATTCATTATTTTGCAAGTAGTTCATGCCTGCAGCTTCGTTTCAGGATATTTTGAAAATTTTAAATTTTTAGGGGTTGACAACCTTTTTTTAACTTTTACATCATGGTACTCTTTTTACTTTGCGAGTTTTCAATAATGTTGTGGAAAAATAGTCTAATAACTTATTAGTAATAAGTAACAAATAATAGTACTCATTGCGATCGCTCACAAACTCAAGTTGTAAATAAATTTCTGGAAAACAAGTCTCCTGTTAAAAAAAAACAATGCGTTTGTCTTATTGTTTAATTTTGCTTAAAATGATTGAACTGCCGTCTTATTACTATCATATGGCCGAATAGACCTACGAAGTACCATGTGCTCTTGTGATATGGTATAAGGTTTATTTTTGCTTGAAACAGTTTGAAACCGTTCATGCATAAAAAAACTTGGCTAATAAATAGTCTTTCGTCAATCCGCCGCCGTATAGCGCCGGCGTTTGTTTCCTTTTGAAAACACTTGTTTTGCTATTCTTATTAATTAGACGTTTTCAAATCGATTTTACTTTTACATTTGTGTAACATTAAATAATATTTTTTTTTTATTCTATTATAATTTAAGGGACATTTACCGCTTAAGGTATGTCAGTCCCATCATACCCTAATATACATGACTAAATAAATTAAATTAATAATTAATAAATTTAATTAATACTATTAAATAATATTTAACATTTGTAAATATTAATGAATCATAAACAGTATTTTTTTTTCCAAATTAAGGTTCTTGATTGTTTGATATTTACAAATATTATTAGGTGAAAATTTAATTGAATAAAAACCAAGGTTTTCCAGGGTGGTTTAGCTGTACCTACTTATATAAATGATTTTTTTATAAAATATTTGTTCGCCGCCACAGCTAAAAGTTGTCGAAAATTGGTGCCGCAACGAATCGGTTAAAGTACATTATCTGGGTAGTAATAGTACCATAAGATCTACTGCTACTTTTTGCATCAAATTTTGAACCACTGTCATATGGCGCCATTACACGCTTAGTTATATAATTATTTTTAAAGTAAGTATATTTTACGTGGTAGAGGCATGCTGCAGCTATATTATGGTTGTAGCACGAATGGGTCGGCTCGACCTGACTGGACACAGAAAGACCACGCTCTATATATACCAGCGTAAATAAGCAACTTAATGCTGTTATGTTTAGTATGGTGAATGTAGAAAACCGGAGACCGTTTTTACTGGAAACAAGACATTCCACTTAGTTCTCGGGGATGGAAACGCATTTGCATTTTGATTCTTAATCGAGGATAGATGTAGATGTCTACGGGTCACAATATCCACCAACCATCAGGTGGACTGTGTGCTCGTTTGTCTCCCTTATTCTTTGAAAATAAATAATAATTTAAATACATAAATAAAATGTCAGCATTAGAAAGTGCGTAATTAAAAAAATTATATTTTACCTTTGTGAGTTCTGGCGTGTCTTGCTCCCTTAAGACGGGATTTAAATCTTTCATATTTAATTTTAACCCAAGTATGTCCGCTACCATCATTACCGTTCGGGCAGGTGGACTGCTATCATTTTTGTACAACAATAGAGGCATGATTACCTAAAATGCAGTCAAACTAAATCATCATCAATGTTTATTATAATAATTTTCACCATACACTGGTTCTTCTTTTACTAAGGAGACAGACTGACAAAAAAGATTTACAGAACTCTATGGACACTTTCTTTCTTTATCAGCCTTTAAAAGTCCACAGCTGGAGGCATACATATCAGCTCACACCATATTGGTGGCAAATGATTTAATGTGTATGTGCGTGTGAGAGCGTGTTCTAACAATAAGAAGAGCATGTTTTCGGGTTAGATTCGGCGTCATAGTCTCTTTCTTTGTTGACCTGAGAGGAGACACTGAAAGTTTTTAGAACTGGACATATTATTTTGGGAAACTGATGAGATAGGTACATATATATTCAATTTCTATGTCATATGTTTTTAACATTATCGGCAATTTGAAAAGCGTGTAGCGTGATAAGACGCATTTAAAGCGAGAAAATGTTTGCTCTTTGCAAATACTAGGTTATGGTTTTAGTCAAAGATGTGATGTGATTTCGGGTCCAGTCTCGTGAAAGTGCTTACAACTGGTTTAGAGTTGAAGAATGGTTGTCGCAATATTAATAATAATGATAAGCATTAGAGAAGTCGTGGCAACCACTGATGATAAGGTCGGTACATTAAAACGGCAGGTAAGTAGAAAGTGATAAGAATTTTGCACGACAATAAACTTCGGGTCCCGCGCCTACGTCACAGTGAACGAGTGAGTTTTTACCGTCAGTCAAGTGTAATATTCCTCTGCAAGATGTAGGAGTGTACAAGCTTGATTGTGAATGTGGTCTCTCTTATATAGGACAAACTAAAAGATCCATAAAAACCCGCGTTAAAGAACACATAGCTGATGTGAAGAATCGACGCTCCGGGAAGTCTGCAGTCTGTGAACACGTACAGGATCGCCCCCGTCACTACATTAGATTTGATAGACCACAAACCCTCGCTAAAGAACACCGATTCCTTCCAAGGATGATTCGCGAGGCTATTGAAATCAAAAAACATCCTAATTTCAATAGAGAAGATGGCTGGGTGCTACCATCTGCTTGGGATCCCATAATTAATAAAATTAAATCCCAACCCAAGCATACAACTGCAAGACTTCATGATACTGTAAGTTCATAGTGCGTAGATCGGAACAAAAATTAATAATTTTTAATCTGAAGGTAGCCGTGGTTAACTATGACATCGGGACGTCATACACCTCAGTCCCCCCCGTGGCCATGGGTGCTGTAAAGTGCTCGACGCGTCGGGAATATAAAATAAGTTAATATACGCGATAAAATCCGTAAAATTAGTTTTATTTAAACTGATAAGAAAGTAACCTACCCATAGTTTCGGGAGGAGCTTGGGTAAAAAATTTTACATTAATATTTAGGCATCTGCAATCTTTGTACTGGTAAAGTTTTAACGCACTAAGTTGGATGAACAGTCGAATATTTGACTGCATTGCGACTAAATTTATTCCAAAAAAAAGATATACCTACTTCGTGGCATACACAAGCCTAAAAGACGCAGTGAGTGAGGAGACCCCTAACGAGTCCACGGCTTCAGTGGCAACGACTTGACTAGTGGGTAGGGTAGATGAATACCAGCCATGCCCCTAATACCAGTCATGCCCCTAATACCAGCCATGCCCCTAATACCAGCCATGCCCCTAATTCCAGCCTTTTTATTTCGTAAATAAGATTTCTAGTAGTCTTAACTACAAATATTGTCACCTAAAAATTCTTCGTAATTAGAGGAAAGTATATTTCAAATATTACTTCACAGTTTTAAACCTAACAGTGTTAAATTAAAAATCAAAACACGTATGCAACGAAAAGCACTTAGTATCCTAATTTTTTGACAAGTTATGATCCCGGTAAAATTATGCATACTTTACATTATCTCATATATAGGCTTTTTGATTTGTATGACTATAGACATAGTAATGCAGTTATTTTTATTTTAATTTACAAGTTATTTATTTTCTTTTAGTGGATATTAATGGGGCTGCAATTAGATATACGAAATGTATGGAGTGCATAATGTCAGCCGCCCGGCTGTTATTTGGTTTGATGAATCTAATAAAAAGTAAGTAATTTCAGCCACGTAATATAAATCAGGGCTGTCAGTCTATAGATCTTATAACTTATTTTATAGTTAAGGGAGTTATGATCAATGCGTCTGTTTTAAATTGGTTTTAGATTTTAAAGTTTAGCAAAAGATGTCTAGTACATCTTTTGTATCTGACATTCGGTGTATATTAAGAACACCTTATGTATTCAATTATTTTTTGAGAAAGAAGAAAAAAACAAGCTATAAACATACTATATACAAGCAAAAACTATAACTATAACTTAGTAATACTAATTATAACTAAGGCCGGCCACATACATACGGAATTCCGTTTCGATATTGCGATTCGGAATTCCGAACGCAGCAAGTCCATATAAAATCTATGACCCGCCACACACTTACAGTAATTTTCCTTACGGAATTTTCTCCGATTCGAGATTCCGTATGACCGCCTGTGCATTCGGAATCCCGAACGGAAAAAAAACCGCTCCGAACGCAAGTCTTCCATAGATTTTGTATGAATTGCAACACACATTCGTAAATTCCGTACGGAACGCGCGTCGCACGTGTTCGTCGCACGACAGAAGCGAGTAGCTGTGTTTATGTATGTTTTTACATTTAATCTTATATGTATATAGCTTTTCGTAACCTTTCATCTAATTTTATTTAATAATTCGTCGATAGACTTCCATATTTAAAAATATCTCTGGATAGATAGATCTTCCTACATAATATTGACCGCATTGCAAGCTTACGGTGATAAGGGGATGCACCTAGTAAGAATGATACATCAACAATGGAATTGCAATCAGAAAATCATCGTCTAACGTCTCTCAACTGACACTTGTTATTCCGAACGGAAATAAACTAATCTGTGTGATGTATTCACGGAATTCCGAAACGGAGTCCCGTATGTATACCGGCCTTAGAACATAAATGAAAAACTCATGACAAGGAAAGTGGTTTAGGACCAGGCATTGCGGCAGTCTATGGACTATGGAGGAGGATGTTCCGTAGTGGACTTTGTAAGGTTGTAATGACCATGATGATTTGAAAACTTGGATGATTAAATTATTAGAAATCGATTTACTACATAATATTTTACAATAATTTGCTTTAATTTATTGAACTGCTTTAAATCAAAACACAGTAAGTTAAGTAGTAAAACATTAAAATAAAATAATGTTGTCGTCTGCCATGCTTGTGACATGCAGATTCAAAATTAAGAGTTGTTACGAATATATTACTGTACCTCTAAAACTTACCTACTTATTGTACCTACCAAAAACTCAAAAGGCATAATCCTATGCTATGCTGCTATGTTGGCATTAGGTAGGTACACAAAAGGACGACATTCGGTTCAGGGTGGCTAGAATTTGAGCCATAATGCCTTTTTTTGTTTATCGTCATTTTTAAAATTGTTCTTGAAATAATATGATTGTTAATAAATGTTCATTACATTTGCCCATAAATAACATATCGATTAAAACAAATGTTTGAAAATATTGTGCCCTAATTAAAATAGCAGGAATTTTAAAGTTGAAATTAGCACTAAAAGGCTGGTAATAGGGGCATCCACCCTACGACGATCTTTGGACAGGAACGGAAATTTACTTACGTACCTACCTCGAAACGTACTTCGAAAGGAAACGAGGAACGACTAACGGTATTAGTTCTGAATTTGGTCTGTTTTTGATTATTGATAAAATGTTCGTATCACAGCCACTTGTTTTTTAATAGAACCAAGCACTTTAAGAATGACGTGATAACATAAACAAAAAATCGTATGTACAAAAAGGGAAAAATTAAAAAAGAAAACAAGGTTAGATTATTTACTCTCTAGATAAAGCCTCACGCAATGAGCCATGCAACAAAAACAAAAACTGGCCAGTTCAGTTTTTACTTTTTACAAGCGTGTAGGCATGAGACCGATATATCAAAACGTAACTAAATAACGTTATGTTATCAAAATATCATATCGATAAACCGAAATACATAACAGTTATCACATATCCAACCAAAACCAGCTAACGAACGTACGGCCCATGAACTAACCGATGTCCTTCGTTGATATTCGTTGTTTCTCGTTCTTGTGACGGTATCATAGATACGAATAGAAAGATATGAAGCGAATATAGATTCCGTTGCGATGTTTTGGTAGTTATCACACAACGGTGCACTTATTAAAGTCTTTCAGAAGATTAAATTACTATTCCCATCTTTACGGTCGTGCTACGCCGGATGCCTAGAGTTTTGGTAACATTTTGATAATCAAATAAATGTTATAGTTAACTAAATAAACCAATATTGTTAATATTGGTTTAATTAGTAACAGTGTTCTGGCTTCGCCATTGCCTGGGGAAGACAGAATGTTGTACAAAATGGTCCAAGTTGGACTTAAAAGAAGATAAAATAAATGTGAATACAATGAGGGTGGCATTATAATAGTTTTATAAAACCCTCTTTAAAAAAATAAAAGATTAAAAAAAAAGGTTCTATTTTATGCTGGTATTCTGAGAGTCGGTCCCGGTCGAGCCTAAATAAACCAATATTTATAATATTGGTTTATTTATGTTGTTTTCATAAAATCTTTATATATAAAAATTACGTGTCACGTTGTTTGTCCACGATGGACTCCTAAACTACTGAACTGATTTCAATGAAATTTTGCACACTATGTGCATTTTAATAATAATAGTCATTTATTTCAGGCTTTTTTACACCCATTACAAATACGAGTATAAAGAAAGAGGAAAGAGGTATGTAAGGATCGTGACACTTGGCGATCTGTTCTCTCTGGTTACCCCGTCAGTGATTGTGCGTGAAGATAAATAAATAAATAAAAATAAAATAAATTACAAATATCAATAAATGTTAAATATTAAAAACAAAATGAAAATATAATTATAAGAATACAATAAATAAAATAAAAAA